GGCCCCCGAGCAGTTTCTTTACCTGTTTCCACTGGGGCGTGGTAGCAGGGCGACCCTGCGCAGGCAGGCAGCAGGACGGCTGGCTGACCCCACGCTCTTGTGTTGGCTGGGAAACACACAGGCCAAGGATGGGGTGGGGTGGTGGAGGCAGGGGAGGGGGCACAGAGCATGTAGACAAAACAAAAATAAAATACAGTAAGGTGGAAGACAAAATAAAAGGTACACAGAGAAGAGACACCCATATCTATGAACTGAGGAGGGCAGCAGACTCCTTAAAGTCCCACTAGTAAAGGAAAGAGTGTCCCCTGAGGTGGAGGGGATCACAGGAAAATGGAAGTTGTGCTTCTAATGGTCCTTTCCCCGAGTCCACTGCTCTCTGAGCGCAGACTACCAATTCTGATTTTGGAAAACTAGTATTTCCATCCAAAAATGAGGAAAGCCTTGAAGAACGCCCCTTCCTCTCAGGGAGGCTTCCTGAAGCGGGACTGCCAGAGTCTCTTGGCAACCTCGAGCAACTGCCAGCAAATAGCATGTGAGCCACGGCACCACAGATGAAAGCACAGAGGTTCGGACACAGACTCGATGGGGGGAGAGAGAAGTGAGTGAGTGGCTCGAGTCTCAGCAAAGTCAGCTCAGCCTTCCTGGTCCACAGGAACAAAAGGGGATAAGGATGGAGGGGACGGAGGGCAGAGCTGGTTCAAACGCTCGCTCAGGTGTTCAGGGAGTTTGACGAGACACTCCATGTTCAGTGTGGACGTCAGCACCTCTGCCTGTAAGAAGCCTCAGGGCCTATTCGAGGGCAAAGGGAGGACAAGACCTAACAAAGAGACTCGACTCCCCTGCTTGCCTTATGGGAACACCAAGGAGTGTTCACGGAGAACCTTTAAAGCATTCCTATGCTTTTCATGTGGAAAACAGACAAAGACCAGGATGACACCAGGAAGGGAGCACCCCGTGACATGGATGGACCTGGAGAACAGGATGCTGCGTGACGTTAGCCAATCACAGGAGGATAAAAACCAAGACAACGACAACAGACTGTGGAGGCCCCA